TCCGAGCTGGATGACCAATCATATGCAGCCGCGTTGGACATTATAAGGAGGGTGGAGATAAAGGGTCACACTGATGAAGGGGGTTTGGAAACAGTATCAAAAAATGTCCCCGATTCTCTTCAGATACAAACATGAATGTACTCTGTGCTGTTACTGTGAAGCCTCAACCAACCTAATACTGACTCACTGAACACTAGAGAAAGTTTGGCATTAAAAGCAGCTTCTTCTCAGGTATTTCTTTTTTAAAACCCTGGGACCACGTGTGTTATTCAGACCAACCCAGTCCGAGCAAGTTTTATTTCTAGAGGTTGGACTTCAGGCAGGAGGAGAATCGGGTTCAACGTGGACATATGCAACCACTTTTCCTGACAGTGCTGCTGAATGCAACAGTCAGTGAGCATGTTTGACTCCAGTTCCAAAGGAAAACATGGATTAATTTAAAGGATGAAGCTGGAAATATTCTTTAATACTCTTATTGTCAACCAATCCCGTGCTCAGACCCAAACCAGCAAACAATATATCTACTAACAAGTATTGTGTTGGCATCCAAATCCTGTTTAATCTTATGCCTGTGTGCCATAGAGCTCCACTGTCGTCTAAAAGCTGATAAAAACACTATTGCACTTTCGTACTGAAACAACGTACTGTTGTTCAGACAAAACAAGACTTTGCAAGAGCTGGAGCTCTGGGAAACTGTGAGGTGTTTTCTGACATTGTTTAGGACTAAATATTAAAGGTCCAGTGTGTAGATTTAGTGGCATCTAGCAGAGCAGTTGCAGCTTGCCACTCCTTCGTTTCACCCTCCCTTTTCCAAGTACAAATGACAAACTGTGGTGGCTACAAAAAACACAAAAGTCCCTATCTAGAGCCTGTGTTTGGTTTGTCTCTCTTTTTAAAATCAAACATAATTTATGGCACAAATTCCTGGAAATCATTTATAAAATCAGTTAAAAGCTTCAACTTGTTAACTCCTCCTGTAAATAAAGCACCAAATGTGTATTAATCCATCTCTGAAAATAGTCTCCAACTAATGCACCATTCACTCTTGAATGAAGTTTGTTAAAAGCAACAGCACCCATCTGTTCCAGTAAATTACTGAGCCTTTTTGTAAAAATGAAACTAATTTTTATAGATTTATGTCTTCAGAAGAATCAGTGAGTGAGGCTGAGTGCCAAAGACAGGTTAGGGAAGTGGTTTTGGTCTTTTCGTGGAAATTGTTGACAATAACAAAAATATACAATATTTCCAGCTTTATTCTTAAAAGGAATACTGGTATATATAATCAATCTGTTACTTTATTTTCATTCTCTCGATTTCTTGATCATGTTTCATTTTCTTCTGCCCTCTTTCTCTCAGCCAGTCATGTCTACTTCTTCTAACCAGCCACAAATCTATAATACTCCATTTATTCATCTTTTCAAGTCGTCTTCTATCACTGTGTGTGTTTCTCAGCTTAATGTCCTTTGAAACTTCAGCCAACCCTGCGGAAAGTAAATGAAGCAGGGCCGTAGCCAGGGTTTTGGAAATACTGAGGCCATGAGTCCAAATTCCCATCCAGGGAAACTCAACCCATCTAACATATTTCTGACTAGCCACAAAATGTCACAAAATGTCTTTTGTATTTATTCATTTATTTTTTTATCACCCAATATAATGGTCTAAAATGTATGGAAGCCCATTTCTGCCAATGTGACAGGAAAAAAAGATTCTGTAAGTCATTATAAATATAATATATATATATATATATATATATATAAAATAAACTTTCTCAAAATATATATGAAAATAATGAGTTAGTATCATAGTGTTCTTTCTTTTGAGATACTAAGTCAAAATACTGACAAAGAGAATTCTATTTTTCCCTGTCGTGTTGGCAAAAATGGGCTTCCATAAAAATGTGTTGGATAATACTAAATCCCCTTTATTTTTGGCTTTAAAATCACAATTTATACTAAATAATATCAGAATCAGATTAAAAACCACAACATGTGTAATATGTGTGTAATCATTGAATATAAATTCCTCCTTTGGTTATTAGGCACCCCAGTTCCCTGAAATATTACCACAGACCTCAGTGGGAGCTACGGCGCTGAACTAAACTCACAGTACTACAAAATAGCGACGCCCACGTTTCATATTAAAGTATGGAGGAAGGCCTGTGTGCTTTGTCTTAACTGTTGTGCTCTGCTGCTGTGTTTCCTCTGTCTTGGAACAAGGATTAAACATGCTTTAAACACTGACTTGCATGCTCAGGAAAGTTGGCTGCAATTCAACAGTTTGGCCTCTTGTGGCGCCTCCGGCCCCCACCGACTCTGGTGAGGCCTTCAAAGGCACCATGAAGGAAACCCTCACAAAAAAGTGCAACTAAGTACCTTGGGCTGTTACTGATAAAGGCAACATTTGTGTGATAATGAACACTTGGACGAAAAGAAAAAAGGGAGGGGTAAAAACACACATGCTTGTTGTAGAAAACACTCATGAAAAGGTAGTTGGCACAGTCCATTTGGTCACTAATGAAAACTTCTTCGTGGCTAAGTCTTCTGCTCCTCTGACAATGTTGTATGTAAATCCTGCACTCTAGTGTGCTCCGCCGGCATTGCATTGAGGAACACATCTGATCAACCTTCCTGACAGGCACCCAACATGTTCTGGTTCAGTCAGGAAAAGGGTGACACACTGGAGTATTGATAGAGCCAATGTTGTTTCGGAATGTGTGTGTGTATGTGTGTGTGTGAGTGTTGTCATGCACGCACACAAGCTTTGTAGGACTGGGGAGACTCAAGACTGCGTTCACAGTGTGATCAAACTCACAAGCATGCAGACAAATCCACATGTCTGAACAGACACCATGGGCATTCCATGTGAAGGTAAATGTAAACAGGTTGAGGCTGAGCTCCAGAGCCAGGCCGCCTCAGCAGCACTCCTGCCCCTACTCCCAGGGCCTTCATCTGGGCAGGGAGGAGACCTGGACTCCCTGGATTTGCTCATGATAGGTGGAGGCCTGAAAACACTCTGTCTCTCTGAGGGATGAGAGGAAGAGTTGAGTGTCCTATAGGGTCAGACACTCCTCCTCTTCCTCTATAGTCACTTGTTGTCCATCAGAGACTGGACTTTGTGCACCAGCTCACGCGCTATCTTCAGGATATGCTGGACATCATGGCGCTCAGCCATCTCTGTGGATCAGACACGCTGTTAGAGACACAGCTACAGAAACATTACATTACGTATTACACATGACCTGCATGAATAGCCACTTCCTCAATAATAATGATGGTATGTATGTAGCATAGACGTGGTTGGGAAGTATGCGCTACTCTTTTGTGGGGTCCCACAGGGATCTATTCTGGGTCCCCTTTTATTTTTTTTTGGTTGTTTTTTATTTGGTTAAATACAGCTAAAAAAAAAAAAAAAAACTTGTAAGCTACACCAGTGGTTCCTAAGTTTTTAGTATGACATACTCTCAGAACACTACCACATGAGCTCAAGTACCCCCTCACACCAACCGTCATGTTCCTATCAAGATTGGTCTCTTTTTTCAGTAGCTTTGGTCAGGTTTGTATTGAATCCATTACTTTCAGCTAACTCTTTCAACCATCTCCTTCCTGAAAATACAATACACTTGAATTTTGCTACACTAAACAAACACAGTTTTGTTAAATCATAACACACGTCATTACACAATGGTCACAGCCCTAAATGTCTGCTGGCCACTGATGGCAAACGTGACAAGATAGCGAGAAATAAGAAATCCACAAAATATAAGATACACACTGTACTGTCTGTGGATGTCTCTTACCATTAAAGAACTTGATAATGTCAGTGAAGTCCATGTTGTTGTCGATGATGATCTCACGGTAAACTGTTACCAGGGCCAAGGCCAGAAAGAGGACAAAGTGCTGTGAGGAGATCCTGGGAGCCACCCAGATCACCTCCCAAACCGCAAACACGTCCTCGTACAGGAGCTCTGCACATACACATAGACAATACGCAATTTTTTAGTCAGTCTCCCCTCTCCTTACTAGCTTTGATCAGCCTTTCTAAAAAGCTGAAACATGATCCTGTGGTTTTGTTCACTGTCAAAGATAAAAGTGAGTTGTAGTCAGTGGTACTGATCATCAATATTTTCAGTCACTGCTGCAGATATATTCTGATCATTTTATCACATGACAGAAAAGCCGTCACCTTCAGCCCTTTAAGGCATTCCTGCTTTAATTAAACTTGTATAAAAAAAAAATATTTGTCATGTTTGCTGAAACTTTC